TAGTGGCATGGCCACTCCCCACCCCCAGCGCTGATTTCTCACTTTCCTTCTCTCTCTCTCTGTCTCTCTGTCTCTCTCTGGTGAGTGTATGAACCCTAAAGCAAATAAATAAAGTTTTTTCAATGCAGACTTCTGGGTTCTGTCTCGACCACAACCTCCTAGGATAGGGCTCAGTAATCTGCGTCATTAACTCACTGCCCAGGTGCTTCTGCTGTGCAGCTAGGTTTGGAAACTACCGATCTAAACCATGTAGTGAAAGGACATGAACATGAAGGAGGAGGATGCCCAGGGTGATGACCTCAGGCAGGAGAAGACCAACTCACAATGTATTAGACTGGTGGCCTCTGAGTAGAGGTGGCTGGGAGGCAGGGCAGGTTTCCAAAGTCTAACAAGCCCTCATCTTGAAGACCATCCTATTGTTTAGCCTGAGTAATAGGAGCTGTTCTCCAAACCAAGGGAGATTGGGTGGCAGGGGAGGTGCCGGCCCCACTGCTTCCCCTCCTGTGAGGATCTTACTTGACGGTGCTAGAGAATGTTCTAAAGGGCCAGTAGGCCTCATGGAGGGAGCCCCGTTGATCATGTGCGTATTCCGGTTGGTAAGAAGCAGCTCGTGGTGGGATTAATAGGTCCCATCGCATCGATTATCCTGGTGCTAATATTCTAGATTCTGTCTTGTCTTGGTCGTGACAAGGGCTCGGAGATTTCCCCAGCTACCCTAGATGTGTCTTTACCCAGCCAATATGCAATCTGCATCTATTTCCCATTCTCTCTCTCTCTTTGCCAGAGAGCACACATGCTCACCAGAGAGAGACAGAGAGAGAGGGAGTAATGGGATGTAGTCATGCCACAATTCTCCTTCCTCCATTTCTCCATCCTGTCAGGATATGGGACACACGCACACACTCACACAAGTGTGTTTTTCAAGCCACCAGAACCAGGACTCAAACCACACAGTTGACCATGTAGGATCTGGCCCCCTTAACCACTAGGCCACAAAGCCAGCCTGAATTTCCTTTTCAATGATGTTTATAGTATAAAAACAATAAACATGGGGACCAGCAGTTAGTGTAATGGCTATGTTGCTGGACTCCCATGTAGTCGACCGTGGTTCAAGTCCCAGACCTGGTGGCTTAAACTCACGCTGGGCGTGTGTGCGTGCATGCCCAAGACCCTGAGAGGAGAATGGAGGAGAAGGGATTGCGGCATGGCCATCCCCCCTGAGGGGTGATTTCTCGCTTTCTATCTCTCTGTCTCTCTCTGTCTGTCTGGCGAGCGCACGCGCCCTATAGCAAAAACCTCTCTGAAAATAATAATAATAATAATAAAAGTGTGTTGTTGAAAAATTTTATAGAGGGGCTGGCAGGTGGTGTGGTGGTTAAGAGCACTGGACTCCCACATGAACTTGACTGTGGTTTAAGTCTCGGACCTGATGGCTTGCTTTCTCACTTTCTCTCTCTCTCTCTCTCTCTCGCTTCCCTCTCTCCCTCTCGTTCTGTCTCTCTCTCTCTCTCTCTCTCTCCCTCCCTCCCTCTCTCTCATTCTCTCTCTCTCTCTCTGGTCAAATTAAAATAAATTAATTAAATAATTAAATAATTCTTCAAAAAAATTTTTAAGAAAACAAAAATAAGTAGAGGTATTTAACATGTGGAGTGAAAGTTCTCCCTGTAATCTCACCCTTCATAGATAACCCCTGTTCATAGCGACAACTGCCGCATTTTAAGGGTGTGAATGGCAGGCTTCTGGGAGTTGAAGTTGAACAATGATCTTGTGGCAGAGCAAGGGTAGGGGTCCCCGATCATTTGTCCAGTGCTTTTGCTCTTCATGAGAGATCTCTCCTAGCATTCCAGCCTGTCAGAAATGGTTTTTTTTTTAAGGTTTTTGTCATTGGATGTGTGCACTCACTGGAGAGAAACAGAGATAGTGAGAGGGAAAGGGAGAAATCACTCCCTGTGGGGATGGTTACACTGCAGTCTCTTGCCCTCCACATAGGGATTTGGGGCACACACGCACATGCCCAGCATCATTTTCCTTTTTCTTTTTTTTTTAATAATTATTTATTTTATTTTATTTTTTCATTCATTTATTTTAATTTGACCAGAGAGAGATACAGAGAGAGAGGGAAAGTGAGAAAGTAAGCCACCAGGTCTGGTATTTGAACCACAGTCGGCCATGTGGGAGTGCCCAGCGCCTTAACCACCATGCCACCTGCTGGTCCCAGCCCAGCATCATTTTCAAGTCACCACATCTAGGACTTGAACAGCTGTCAGTAATGTGGGAGTCCAGCACCGGAACCACTATGCCAACTGCTGGCCTCATGTGTCTCGATTTTTTTTTTTTTTTAAGGTTTTTCCAAGGAGCTTGTATGCTCACCAGAGGGAAAAACAGAGACGGTGAGAGGGAAAGTGAAAAATCACCCACAACGCAATACCTTCTCCATTCTCCTCCTGGGATTTTGGAAACACACCCACACACGTGCCCAGCATAATTTCAAGCCGCCAGGTCCAGAACTTGAATAACTATAAACCATGTGGGAGTCCAGCGCCATAACCACTACGCCACCTGCTGGCCCCTGTCGGGAACTTTTTGATCATCAACATGGAGGTGTGTCTAATTCCTCAGGCATCAGGAATGGTGATCAGCACACTGCTCTGGAAGCCTGAAGTCATATCTCAAAACTTGAGTCTTTCAGATTGCAGGCAACAACCCTGGGGCTGACTTCTCTTTGGCCTCTGGCCTTTACATCCATCCACTTCTCATCTCCAGGCTTGACTTTTCTGAACTGGTTTCCACCGGTTACACTTCTCACTGAGGAAGACAGATTCGAACATGCTCCATGCCATTGACCAGCTGGGAGCAACTCCTGCCGCCTTGGAAAATACCTGGGAAGAACTAAGAGGGTAAGGCAGGTTGAATTACAGCCGTGAGCAGGGCTCACTGTACCATACTGAGTTCTCCCAAAGGCCTTTTCATTTCTTCCCAGTGTTCCAGGGACTCAAGCCTACCCGTGGTTTCCATATTCTTCTACAACAATCTGATGGCAGGTGCGGAGTGAGCAGAGTTGCAGAATTAAGTATTTTTCTCAAATAATTAAACTGTCAAATAAAAAAAAAAATCTACAAACAGTATGGTTACAGTGGGAGGCTCTCAACACGCTGACACAGATGGGAGGCCGAGCTTTGAGCTGTTTTGTTTTGTTCAGTAGACCCAGCGAAGACACATGCGAGGTACAGGTCTCATGCTTGCAGAATCGCAGTACAACAGGTAAGTATCATTGTACTCGCCATCGTGCAGTAAGCACTAGGCTGTGCCAGGCACCAAGTACTTCACGTGAACTACTGAGTCTAATCTATTCTAGCAGACATTGTTACCATCACCTCCATTGGTTCTGTTTTGTTTTGTTTTTGCTATAGGGCATGTGTGCTCCTTGGAGAGAGACAGGGAAAGGGAAAGGGAGAAGTTACCCCCCAGGGAGGATGGCCATGCTGCCATCCCCTCTCCTCCATTCACCTCTTGGGATTTGGGGCACATATCCACACACGCTCAGAGTGTTTTCAAGCCACCAGGTCCAGAACTTGAACCATACAGTCAACCATGTAGGATCCAACGGTCTTAACCTCCACACTACCTGCTGGCCCTGTCTGCATTCTTTTCCTTTTTTCCTCCAGTTGCCAAAAGGCACATGCACCTGCCAGACAGAGAGGGAGGGAGAAAGCAGCACGCCCCCTTGCATAGGCACGTCACCACACAATCCCTTCTCCTCCACTGTTCCACCCTGTCAGGATATCGGACAAGCATCCACATACCTGGCCTATCTTTTAAGCTACCAATGCTGGAACTTGAAACACAGGTAACCATGTGGGACCTGCTCCCTTAACCATGAAGCCACAAGGTTGGCCCTCTCCATTTTTATAGGTGAAGAAACAAAGACTCAGAGAAGTGACGCAAGGGCACACAACCAGTCGCATGTAGAGTCAGGTTTGAAGCCAGGGTGCTTTGATTGCAAAGCCTGAGAGCTTATAGATATAAATGCTGTCCTGGGGTCGTCTTCGTCAATCTTTACCATACCCACAGACAAAGCTTATGGGGAAAGGCTAGGTTGGCTTCAGTGAGGACTGGTTTCCCACCCTGCACCCCAGCGAGTGGACACTGAGCAAGGCTCTCCACCTGTTGCACTGAGCACAACTCTTGGGGTTACCATTGACCTGAAGACATGACAAGTGCAGATTCGACTGGGTTTAGGAATCTGTTATTCTGCCTTGCTATTTATTTTTGCTTAATCTCCTTTTTCTTAGAAAAATTATCTCCCTCTCTTTTGCAATTCTTTACCAACAGTTCTATTGACTTCAGTCATGTATACAGACCACAGCAATTGATAAAGAAATAAAGGCTCTGTCAGATCTCAGGGCGGAAGAAAGTCAGGGGGCACTAATCCCAGAGAGAGATCCGGACAGTTCAGAAGTAATTTTCAGGGTAGCCAAGAGCACAAAGTAGTTCCTTTTTTTTTTTTTTTCTTTTAACGTTTCAAAATTCACAGTAGTAAAACTAGGTCCTTCACGTGCTCCTCTGATAAACCTCTTGCTTTTTAAGCTAAGTTTGAACCGCCTCTGTATTTGCTATGCCATTGTTGCAGAGACCTTAATTTTAATTCTTTTCTCTCCTGTGGGCCCCTCACTCCTCCCCAAATGTTTTAGCATCTGTTAATCCTGGTTGGAAACCTTAGCAGATAGAAGTGGTGTTCTGTGTAGATTGCTTCCAGAACAAATAAGAGGTGGTAGATAATTCAGCATTGGGTTTCAGGAGGGCTTAGGGTGGGAGCTGCAGAGGACAGCACCTCTTCCTCATAAGACATCCAGTAAAAGCCAAAGCAAAGTAATTCCCAAGCTCAGGCGGAATGCATGTAGATCAGGTTCATTTCCAGTGCTGCCACTGCCTGCGTGGAGGTGATATTAGAAGCCACCATGACAGCAAAGTAGTTTTATGCATAGCGGCTTAGCGAACACTTTGAGAACTAGTTTAGTGAAGCTATCAGGTTGAAAAATACCAAGTCACGAAGTTTTAATGAAACTAAGTGTGGATCAACGTATCAGAAAGAGCATCCAGGACGACTTAAAAGATCCTTGGGTGGAAATTAGAATGGATCTTTGGGATTTATTTGGCAAAGCCTGTCTATTCTGACCTTTTTTCCGTTTCATATTAAGGCTAGTGAAAGTGCGTTTTGTTTGGCCGCGGCTGGAGGAGGACAGAAGCCATCGGTGCTGCTGGGCTGCTGCTGCTGCTGAAGTTGAGCTGCATTAATTGGCTGATAAGGACGGGGCATCAAATAGCAGAGAGAAAGGCCATCGGAGATTTTCTTGCTTTATTTCTCTCTGCACTTCATTTACATCTTAAGCCATATTGGTGATCCAGATTTGAATAAAGCCACAGCTTAAGGAGTGATTAGATCTCAATAGCTTGGATTTTCTATGAAATTGCTGCATTTTTACTAGATGTATTTAGAAATACTGGTGAAAACTGACACCTTGGGTAACTTTATCATTTAAAATGGAGCTTCAGCTGGATAAAAAAAAAAAAAATTAAAAAAAAAAAACAGCTAAAATGGGGGTATTAGTTGCCAGGCCTTTGACTCAAGCAGTGTCAGGGGTTAGAATTAGACAAAAGCCAAGCTCAGCACGACTTGGGCAAAGGAAGAATGCAGATAAGTCAACCTACCACCTTCCTCTAAGCCTACTCTCCCCCAAAATGTTAATCGAAGCAGTGATCCCATAACCTGAAGAAAAATAAGGATGCCAACAGGAATATATAATGCAACAAGGAGCTTTTTTTTATTCTGAGACTTTTTTTTTTTTTAATCATAAAGCAATATTTTTAACTCTAAGGTTAACCTGCTAATCCTTAAGCTGGTGATATGACAGTGTCAAATGTGATGGGATTTTGTGATTCTCATTATTGTTATGTATTGTTCTTTCCCTGGTATTCCATATTAATATTTATAAATGCCCTTTTTATAGAACCAAGAGGACCAAAACCCATTATTAAATTTTTAAAATGGACAAACCGCGCATCCAATATAGTTGATTACAATTTAGAACAAAAAGGATTTGGGGAGTAATCCACTTCTTGTCTCCCGTTGTTGTTGATTTGTGTAGACAGCAGAGCTCCTGACGTTATTTTTTCTAAAACTACTGTTTGCACAAAGTAACATCCAAATGACAGAGAATAACAGAATATTGATTGTGCTCCTCAAGAAGGGGGTGAAACCCACCATGTGCAGGTGAGAGGGCGTCACGGCAGGAAGGTATGCGTTTAAAATGCTGAGGCACCCGGCAAGAGCCATGAGCAAAAGTAAGGAAGAGATTAAAATGATAAGAGGGACGCTGTCCGTTCCGTTTTCCTCCGGTGCCTCATTGTACTTGACGAGTGACCTCAGAGGATTCAGGGGGCACCCATGTGTGTGTAAAAGGAAGTCTCCAGGGGCCAGCAAGTGGTGTAGTGATTAAGGCACTGGACACGCCCACATGACTGACCACAGTTCGAGTCCTAGACTGGATGGCTTGCTTTCTCAATTTCCCTCTCTGTGTCTCTCTCTGGTCAAATGAAAATAAATGAATGAATAAAAAAATTAAGTAAATAATTATTTAAAAAAAAAAAAAGAGGATGTCTCCATAAGTGGCCAATCATGCCATGACCTAACCATAGAGGAGGGACAAAGTTGATGACTCATCTATCCAGCCTTTTCTCCTTTCAGCACCAGCAGATGCGATCAAACATGCTTCAAAGTCAAAAAAGAAGGGATGGGCCAGCCTCTGACGGGGTGGTTAAGGCAGCTGGATCCTACATGGTCAACTGCGTGTTTCAAGTCCCAGACCTGGTGGCTTGGAAAATTTGCTGGGTGCACATGTGTGTGTGCACAAAATCTCAAAAGGAGAAATGGAGAAGAAATTATGGCAAGACCATCCCCCATGAGGAGTGTTCTCTCTCTCTCTCTCTCTTTCTCCGGAGAGTACATGTGCCCTCTGGCAAAAAAAAAAAAAAATTAAAGGTGGAAAAACTTCTCTCCACCCACCTCATATTAGAATGTTCCCAGTGCTGGATAAAGGAATTTTATGGAAGGAAGTTGTCTGTGGCTGACATCCCGCCTCCAAAAGTTCCGAACAGCTCATTGTAATCAGCAGGAGAATGTAGAACTAACTGGCTGCGGGGGTGAAGGAGTGGCTGGGCGACTTGATTTGGAAGAGTAGTCGACGAGAAGAAAAAGTACGAGACAACTTCAAGTTTATAAGACAAATGGAATTGAAAGTGTGAGTTCATTTTGGTACAAAAAATTTTGAAATTCATGCTGCATTTTTTCCATTATACACATTTCCCATGAATTTTTAGAAGACCCCTTTTGTAATGTTTCTGCTGATGAGGCCAAGAACCGAGAGCAGTTATAACAAATGATTAGAACCGTCTCAACTTTTAAAATTTATTTATTTATTTATTTTATTGTTTATTTGCCATGAGCACATGCACTCACCAGAGAGAGACAGAGAGAAAGAGAGGGAGAGTGAGAAGGTAAGCCGCTAGGTCCAGAACTTGAACCATGATTGCTCATGTGGGAATTCAGTGTCTTAACCTCCATGCCACCTTCTGGTCCCCAAAATGTCTCTGGCCCCCAAAATGTCTCAACTCTTATTCTTTAAGAGAGAAGGTGTTCTCATGGGGCATATTTTTATTTTTTATGTTTTTTTTTATATTTTGTTTCATATTTTATTTTTTATACTTTTTCTCAATTCAATATCTGAAGTCTGGGATTCCAAATCAGAACTGATTCTGAGCCCTGGCTCGTCCCCTGCAAACCATGTGATCTTGGACAAGCTATCTGATCAAGTTTTCTTGATTATAGAGTGAGGAAACGTGTGTACTTCGTGCTGTGGTCATGAGGGGGAAATGAAATACCTGCGTCTCGTGTGCTCCCTGGCACACAGTAAGCAGGCAAGAACAGCCACACGGGGCCAGCCCAGGGGCACAGCGCTTAAAGCCCTAACCACAGGGAGCCGAATCCCACATGGCTGACTGCAGTTCAAATCCAAGTCCCTGATTCAAGCCTGAAAAACAGAAACGCATCAGGAGCATGTGCATGTGAGCCCCACATCCTGATAAGATGGAGAAATGGTGGCGAGAGGTTACGTTGTGACCATGCCCCATTGGGCAGTTTCTCTCTCATTCTTTGCCAGCAGTTGTGCCCTCTGGCAATTAAATGAAAAAGAAAAGTAGTAGTAGGGCTAATTAGTAATACATTTATGACTTTGGAGATTTGAAACTCGGTTTCTTGAGTTGCGGGTAATTTTCTCTATTTTATCCTCTCCGTGGCTTGGGATTTGCAGCCCCTGCATGTGAGTCTTTGTAACTACAGGCTTTTGCACATGCAAAAATTAAACCAAGTAAAATATCTGGGGGCCTGGGTTGCTTGAGGAATTCCAGACTATGTTTGACCATCTGGGATAAAATACTTGGGCATTTCGTTTAAACGTTTCTAAAGTATTTTCCAGCAGCAATTAAGGAAAGAGGAGGCAGAGTTGATGCCGAGTCGTTCTGACAGTGATTCCATTATAGTGCTGGGTTCCCGCCACAGAGGTGGTGTCTCAGCTCCCAGCTGAGGAGTATTGTGTGTTCAAAGCAGCGAAAGTGTAACTCAATGCCAATGAAACTCAAGTTTGGCGGAGTAATGAGAAGGCTATTCATCATGACCCATCGTTATAGAAACTGGCCTCGCCTTCTGGAGAAACGTGTCTTATGTTTCAAACGTGTGTAAGGGCCTGGGGTGGCAACGTGGCATCAGTTCAGCAAGTATGCTAGGATGCAGCTTCCCAGACAGCTCAGGGACATGTCAGCTTCCCTCTCCTCAAAGTCCCCGCTGCCTCCCTGTCCTACAGCTCCTTCGCCGGAGCTCCTCCCGGAAGACGTCTTCCTGAGCAGAGCTGAAGAGGTTCACCGTGGGTAGTTTTCTCCTTCCCAGGGGGCGCTTCGGGCTTCTTGCTATGTTATCCTCAGTTAGTGATCTGAGCTGGCCTCGTGGGTCTTCCATCTCCATCATCCCTCACTGTCCCCAAACTGTTCTCCTCCCACTGACTAGCAAAATTTGCCTGTCCTCTGGTCCGTTTCTTTAAGAGGACCCTTGACAAGCAACGGGCCCCCCTAGTAGAGAGTTCAATAAGTCCTTGATCAGAATTGAACATAACGGGAGCCAACAGTTAGCGTAATGGCTATGTCGCTGGACTCCCACGTAGTTAACGCGGTTCGCCTCCCGGACCCGGTGGCTTAAAACTCACGCCGGGCGCGTGTGCGTGCGTGCCCAAGATCCCGAGAGGAGAATGGAGGAGAAGGGATTGCGGCGTGACCATCCCCCCTGGGGGGTGATTTCTCACTTTGTCTCTATGTCTCTCTCTGTCTGGCGAGCGCACGTGCCCTATAGCGAAACCTCTCAAAAAAAAAAAAAAAAAAAAAAAACATTGAACATATCTACTCGAGGGGTTGGCACTAGTTTAATGGGGGAGTGGCTTATTGTCCCTCAGATAACATTGCCTTGATGCCATTAATGATTTTTCTAATATGTATTTCTTCGAGAGCAAGACAGAGAGAGAGACAGCACCTCCCTTCCCCCGCAGGGTGTTCATGCCTTAAGCCAGCTCCAGGTCTTGAGCAAGTGTGTGTCTGGTGTAACTGAGCCTGGCCACGCAGGATTGCCTCACAGAACACATCTTTTACTGCGGTGCCTCCTCACATTGACTCGGGCCGTCATTTAACTTCAGTTGTTACTGTGGCAACCACCTGGGCACAGATGTAGCCTGAGGGCACCTTTCCTCAGCTGTCCCTCCTTTTCCTGCTTCCTGTCCAGGGCCTCTCTTCCTCCACTGCCTGTGGGCGCCAGCTTAGCCAGCTGGTATAGGCACTCCTAGAGCCACCCTCGACCAGCAGACAAACCAATGAGCACAGTGCCACTTCCCCAGAGGCAAGCTCTGTAATGCACCCCTAAATTGGCTTTCCCTTAGTCCTTATTTGGTTCTCCCTGGTTTCCCCCAGGAAGTGACCCAGATCCTTAGAGTCACTTCTCAAACTACCAGCGCAGAGGCCCTTAGTTTAAATTCTACTTTCAGGGAGAGCCCAAGACCTCCTTTTTAACAGAGGACTCCTTACAAACTTTCCCTTAATCTGAGACAACGCATCTCGGTCAGTGGAATCTCCGTGCTGCGAGATGCAGGCTGGGGCAATGCTCTCCCTCTGAGCAGCCACAGCTACCAAGGCTCGGTCTTCCACGACGCTGGTCATGACTGGCTTTCTTTCAGTCTCCCCACTGTACTGTATTCTGGGACAGTATCTGCTTTCTGTGTCCCTGTGCCTAGTTCGGTGTCCTGCATGTAGTAGATACTTAACAAATAAAGTGTAATTTGAATGGGTGGATGGATGGATGAGGTAAATGCATAGGAACCACAGCTTCTCCCATATCAGATAGCAGAGTTAACTATTG